CCCCCCCCCCTCACATAATAATATTAAAGCTAACCTTCCCGCCCCCCTTGAAAGAAATCTCCTCCCATTGATTCCCTCATACCTAGTTTACTTGTTGGAGATCTTCCCCAGGTACAAACATCACTTCAAATGACTCTTCGACGTATGTCAGAGTCATTTGAAGAGTCATCAGAACCACTGGACTCTGAGCTTGTGTCGTGTTCGCATGAATTGGGAGTTTCCTCATCTTCTACAGCATCTCTAGCACTAAGGTTCCCGCGTGCGTGGGTGAGAACTCAATCAATCAACTCAGCCTTGCTTCCACTTATCTTAAGACCTTTTAGCTTTAGATACATTTTCAGCTGCTTGTTGGTAAGCGCTTCTACATCGTTTTTAATTGTCCAAGAAATAAGCGGGAGAGTGTTCATTTCTCTGACTCTTTTTTTTGGCTTTTGCATCGAGGAACTCAAGGTGCTGTACATAACTTTTACATGCAGTCTCGTCTACGTTGTACTGGGAACATACCTCTTGCAAAGACCTTTCTTCAGATAGGAAAACAACAGATCAGAACACCTTAGAGTTGATAAATTTGTCAGTTTTATTCCGATGTTAGTATATATATATTTGAACTCTAATAACTCTTCCACTACTTTTCCAGGAATGAAAAAGTAATGCCCCCTCTGTATGTATTACATTTTACATCCAAACCCCCCCCCCCCCCCAATTTTCCAACCCCCTCTCCAGGTAATTATTGCACAGTCCCTTAAGTGGTGAAATAAATGCAACCAACATAAAGTAGTTCGAAAAAAATCTGTTTTTTAATACATCTTTCTTTGTCTACTATCTGAGTTACCCGCTCGTTGCGAAGATTTTTGCAAATCGTCAGTAGACGGTGCGTAAGCCGATTCAAGGACAAAGCGTAAATGCGTAAACAAACCCATTTGTAATCTGTAAAACCAATTTACTGCAGGAAAAAAAATAAACATGTTATTTGCCGGCTTAGAGTCGGTCCATATGGTGAAAGACTGTGACTTCGTGCTTGAAAATGCTGCCCGAGGCCGCAGGCCGAGGGCAGCATTTTCAAGACCTCGGTCACAGTTTTTCACTCTACGGACC